GGGTAAACAGCAGGACAGACCGGGTTTTATAACCTTGGGTGGCAGCTGGTCAACCGCAGGCAACCTACTGCGTGAAAAAATCTGCCTCGTCAGTCATGTATCGAAAGATATATGATCGCCTAAGCATGTATCACGCATGGCAATCACTGACTGATATATTTTATATTTCTAAGGCGAGTTTACCAATATAGTTTGCTCCGCATTTTCTCGTACGGTATTAGTGTTGATAATGGAAACAATGTTAATAACCTTTGTTGAAAAGCCAAAAATAGTTTTATGTTAAACATAAGACTATCATAAAACAAAGCTTGTCACTTTTTTTAAAATTATTTTGTTGAATAGACTCATTGTTGTACATTGTTAAATTCATTGGAGAACATGACTAGATTAATATACCGTATATCTACCATATCGTTTGACAAAACATTCAACATTTTTTGTTTTTTTTTTTGTTTTGTTTTTAATAATCTCTTTGTCGGTTCGAGAAATTTTTAACATTCCTTCCTATATATAGTTTTTTTTATATAAAATTTCGGATAGAATGTATCTGTAAAAGTACAATATGAATAAATACAAAAGGAAAACTTACCTCACGCTTTTCGTACTCCGAGGAACTTTATCAAAGCAAATGCAAGGATTTTATTTTGTAACAATTATTTATTGACAAGAGCAAAAATGTTTATCCAAATTTTGAAAAATTTTTATGAATATTTATGAGCGTTTCTTAAATTCAAAAATTAAAAAAAAATGTAACATTTTTTTCTTTTGTCTATAAATACATGTTGCAAAATAAAATTGCATTTGCCTTGATAAAGTTCCTCGGAGTACGAAACGCGTCGGCTATGATAACATTTTTATGTCAATATTAATTTGATTTATAATCCTAGTTTATAACATATGTATTCTATTCTGGTGTCCCCATGGGTCTAGTGCAACGTTTCTCAACCTTTTTTTTATTATCCTTGTGCCATCCTTGAAATAGTTTTTATGTCTCAGGAAGCCCCTGTATAAAAATTATCATATACCATTATCTATCTCTTTTATAATTTTTAACGTAGTTCACGTGGTAAACATATATTTTTTTCGGATAGCTGATTTAAGCCCCCCCAAAAAAAAAAAATAACAGCTTTTTTGTTAAATTTGGTATACAAATGCGGCACGGTGGAGTAATGGATAGCGGCTCGGATTTGGGAATCGGAGAGCCGAGTTCGATTTCCAGTCGAATCCGTTACATTCAATGCTAATACACTTGGGAATCCTCTTTTTCTCTCGCAGATCGGGTTCTGTAGCCTTGGATGGCAACTAGTCTACTGGGAAAAAATCTGCCTCGTCAGTCATGTATCGAAAGCGTATATAACGCGTGGCACATCACTGACTGAATATATACAAAGATGTGGATTTATACACACGTATTTATATGCATATACATACATATTTATATACAAAGTATCTCCAGTTTTTCATAATTTATTACGAATATAAAAAATAAAACTGGAAGAAAAAGTGTTTATTTCTGTACCACACCAATAATTTTCTAGAGAAGCTCCAATTCAAAGCGGGTGATTTCCGACATTTGACGCCCACAGAACATTAAAGACAAGAGGGATAGAGCAAAGGAATACATAACCTACCTAACAAGCTTGGGTCGGCAGAACGGGGAGTGGAAGATATAGTAAAAGAAAAACAAAAAAAAAACATTACTAAGGGATTACAAAGGACATGGAGTCGTGGAGAGCCATTATCGCCCACGTCCTGAACAGATGATATTGACTTATTCTGACACAGGATTACAGTTGTGGGGTGGGGCAGTGTGATTCGGTGTCACTAGCAACGTTTTACAAGACTAATGTACCATCCATTGCTCTAGGGCAGAGGCCTTTCCACAAATATATACAACTTGTTTGCATGCACTTAATGTTGACAAATGTGGGTGTTAACCAGAATCTGCAGTTGATATTTCTCCTTTTGGCATTATACAGTCCATTAGCCGGTTCGTTTAGTTGCCTTTACACACACACACACACACACACACACACATATATATATATATATATATGTGTGTATGTATGTACGCACCCAAAGCACTACCGAATCCCTTATCCATCGGAATTGTGTGATCTAGGTGGATACCTGCTTCGTACACACAGTTTAAATACGGTTCTATTAGGTTTTCTGAATGCTGTCAATATTTGCAGCCAGTCCAGTCTTTTGAAAGACGCTGAATGAAGCAGGTGTAAAACAGACCGAGCAAATTGTCTTTTCCTTTTGATTCTACACTGATTAATTCACCTGTCTTTTACACACACACACGTTTGTGTGTGTGTGTGAGAGAGAGAGAAGTCCCTATATATATCTATATGTGTGTGTGTGTAAGTGAGAGAAGTCCCTATATATATGTGTGTGTGTAAGTGAGAAGTCCCTATATATGTGTTTGTGTGTGTGTGTGCGTTACGTCGTTATGTATGTGTTTGTGTGCCAGCTCACTACATATATATGTGTTTATGTCTGAAGTCCCTATCTCTCTCTCTCTTTCTATCTCTCTCTCTCTCTCTCTCTATCTATCTATCTATATATATATATATATATATATATATGTGTGTGTGGGTATGTGCCCGCATACTATATATAGTGAGCGGACACACACACTGACATATGTATCTGTGTTTGTCAGGTCCCAATACATATATATATATATACAACCACATAATTTTACTTACCGACGATTTATTTATTCTGAAGATGCGTCAGCCGAAAGGTACCTAAAATTTGAGGATGTGTCTCAGCTCACTAATACATCTTGTATCATTATCCATACTCCATAACCTTTTATTCCATTTTTGTTGTTGTTTTTGGGGTTTTTTTTTTTTTTTTGGTATTTTGATTTGAATTTTTCTTCACACTCGTAACTATCTAAATGTATTTATTTTATTCACCTATTTAAAATCCCTCCAGTTGTATCTGATAGTCTGTGATTTCTAATTATTGTTTTTATTAAGGACTATTTCATGAAACCAACCACTAGTCAACTTACTGCATAAACCAATTCAAATAGTTAAAAAAAAAAATTCAGAAAAACTAAGCCGGTCAGTCTGCTAAAGCTACTACTACCCCCGCCTTTTCCTTCTCACCCTCTTCTTCCCCCTCCCCGTCCATCCCACCCCCTCACAGAGCCTTCCACTCCTTCTATATAACTCTCTTGCGTTTCCTTCAACTTAATGTCACTACTGACTATTAGACTTTGGACTAAAACAAAAAACAAATGCTTAAGTATGACTATATTCATATTGACCGTTATTTGGATTAATATTCCTTTCATTAAATTAATTTGAATCGACCTGGTTTGTCCTGCCTATAAACAATAAACCGTATCAGTCAATGTAAAATACAGCCCAATATAAAAATCCCAAAAGTATAGAGTAAATTCTCACCTAGGTGAACCGACCACTACTACCACTAATCATCTTTACCCATCCCTTCTCTTTCACTTACCTTCCCCACTACCAATCTAATGTATCCGTCTGGTGTATTTTCTACATTTACGGAGGAGATTTCGATCCGAAGAGTTGAACAACTCGCTGTTCACGAAATAAATTTATAATCGAAATGGATAATTAAAATCTCCGTCTTTTTATTATCACTATGTTTATACAAGTTACATTAAAGACGACTGACAAGGTACTGCCAGCTATTAAGCTTTCTATTCAGTTTTTCTTGTGTTAGTATATGTGTTTTCTTTTCTGGACCTAAAGTGTGTAAAACCCTTTCCAAATATATCTGAGAGATTTCGGTTAATCTGTTAGCCATTATCTACGATGTTTTTTTCTTTCTAACTTCTAACTGAGCGCGTATTTTTATATATGTATCTAGGGTGATGGGAATGTCTTTTGCGGTTTTTTTTTCCAAACAGTTCGAGCAAGTTGTGGCCAAATTATTTTCTTTACGTTAAGTCAGAAGCACTCGATTAGAAGAAGCTGTACCCTGCGAACGAACCTGGTGTCTGGATCTAAGTTACAACGCTACAGGGTATGTGAACAACGACGAACATTTAGAGATAGTGGAAACAAAAAGACATATTTAACATCAAGAAACGACAGTTGAAATTTGTATGACACAAAATGAGGAAAGAGGGCTTGAAAAATTTTATACTCATAAGACAGTTTGAAGGCAAGACGGGCAGAAGAAAAAATACGCATAATCAAATAAACGCTTATAAACTCGAAGATAAATGACCAATATTTATCTATCCTCAAACCAAGTAAATGCTTATACTCAAATATAAACGTGCAATATTTATCTATCCCGAACCAAGTAAATGTGTATAGACTCAAAAATAAATGTACAATATTTATCTATCCTGAACTAAGTAAATGTTTATAGACTCAAATATAAACGTGCAATATTTATCTATCCCGAACCAAGTAAGTGTTTATATATTCAAATATAAACATGCAATATTTATCTATCCCGAACCAAGTAAATGTTTATAGACTCAAATATAAACGTGAAACATTTATCTATCCCGAACCAAGTAAATGCTTAGCGACTCAGATATAAAGTGCAATATTTATCTATCCCAAACCAAGTAAATGTTTATAAACTCAAATATAAACAATCAATATTTATCTATCCTAAACCAAGTAAATGCTTGTACACGCAGCTATAAATTATAAAGAGATATAGAAGGCGGTGAATACTACTCGGGCCTGGGGTTCTTAAATGTTGTGGAAGCCAAAGATTATTCATGAATTTCGTAGGGTTTCAAATATTTGAAAAATATTGAAGAGTAACATTTACATTTTGCGTAAATTCATTTCATTGCATAAAAACAGAACTAATAATAGAGAAAGGAAAGAGGCACTAAAATAAACCCTGTACCTCCTAATAAAATTCCAATCCTTCTTGGTATGTATCAACCGAGCCTTTATGAGAATGCCAGAAAATGTATCATGTATTTAAAATAACCATCATTGTTAATATCTTTTTTTTTCTGTATTTTCCAGTCCCCAACGCTGAAAGCTTGAAGATTGTTGACATTGAACTAAATGTGGCCCAGAACACCCAAGAGCACCATTGCGATGAATATGATATTACAAGAGACACGGATGACACTGGTAAATACCAGACTCCAAAATTGGTGGTCAGAAGAGGTCAATCCTTCGACATTACTCTTTGTTTGAATCGCCCTTACAATAAGGATACCGATAAAGTAGCTCTTCAATTTGCAGTTGGTAAGTACTTTTCATTCAAACTACAGTGTAACCCGGATATAAGAGAAACCCGGATATAAGAGAAACCCGGATATAAGAGAGATTTTCTATGGTTCCAAATTAGAGCCTGTGTTAATGTATATAAAATAGACCAAACCCGGATATAAGAGAAACCCGGATATAAGATACTTCTTCTCCGGTCCCGACAACTCTCTTATATCCGGGTTACACTGTCCTTTCTGAGTGGTGACGAAATATAAACGACTAATATTAACCGATTCCCGAAGCAATTAAAATCTTACAAACTTAAATATAAACGACCTGTATTTATCTATCCTTGAACCAAGTAAATACTTCACAAAAAACTTAAAAATAAACGACCATCATTTATCTATTCACTAACGAAATAAATGCTTACAGACTCAAATATAATGGACTAATATCTACCTTGCTACGAACTAAGTCCTTATTTTACTCAAATATAAAAGACCAGCATTTATCTATCTTTGAACCAAGTAAATACTTTTTAAAAAGTTTAAAAATAAATGACCATTATTAATTTATCCCCTTACCAAGTAAATACATACAGGTTCAGGACTAATATTTACGGCCGGTATTTATCTATCCTTGGACCATGTAAATATTTTTTAAATAAACGACCATTATTTATTAATCCTCTAACCAAGTAAATGCTTATAGGCTCAAATATAAATGACTAATATTTACATATCCCTGAAGCAATTAAGTAAGTGTAAATGCTCAAATATAAACGGCATACATAAAGTACAATTACATTCTATTCAATTTATATTCACTAATATTTACAAATTCCTTTTTTTGCCATGTATCAGACAGCTTTTTGATAATTTTTTTGATAAAAATTCCGTGGGTTTTGAGGCGAAAATGTTTTCGCCGAATTCGTGAAACTGGTTTTCCCGAGAGTGCTTTCCCAATCGTTTTGCACCGATCGAAAAATGTAATTATCGGTTGATGAAAGGTCGAGTAGATTCGCGGTTTGCAGTAGAACAGACCAACCGAGTTCCCAACTGTTTCCCTGTGGTATTCTTGCTGTATGTGACCTTGTGTTGTCATAGAGAAGATCAACTTTTTTTCCTTTAATCCACAATGTATGCTGCTAATGCCGTGCAAAACTAAATTATGTCAGTGTACTCTAAATGTATTCTTAACTAATACGTATGATTAGTAATTAGGATGATATATTTATCATGACAATTACAACCTCAAAACAGAAATTACTTATGACTCAATTTATAGATACATTACATCAAATTTTGAGGCGACTTCTCGTCATTTTCTTAAATTGACCCCAAAAGCAGTTGTTTTGTATTTTAAATAAAAGAAAATTATTAGAATTACAAAAAATTGAACATCATTTTTTATTAGTAATTTTATTATGACTAAATGAAAAAAAAAATTATATATATAAATTTTGCTCTTGTCAAAATATCCTCCTTTAGCCTTCATTACTGCCGCACAAATTTTCGGCATTCGTTGAAAAAGTTTCATAAAGTATAAGTTTGATAATTGATTCCATTGTTTTTTCAATGACTCTAAGGAGCTTTTTTTTTCATTTTTTTGGGAATGAAAAAGTATTACTCTTCTGTCAAGTTCATCCCATGTTCATTCTGGAGGGTGGCTTCAAACTTTTGAACTGTTGTAATCTACTTGAAAATTCAATAATGATTAATTTCTGCATTATCCACATTGTCTTTCAAAACGATCTCTATATGCATAGGAACGGATTTCTCACAATGAAGTTCTGTTTTCAACAGGTGAACGCCCCAAAATGGCCAAGAAAACGCTGATCAGGTTGCCGATCAACACAACTGAAGACGACAGCGGCTGGACAGTTACACTTAAGGGTACCAAAGGTAATGAAATGACTGTGACCGTCACTACTCCAAATACCTGTTACGTAGGTAAATGGAGACTAATGGGATGTGTCACTGACAGCGACAATCAAACAAGATTAAGCAGAAAGAAGGAAGTTTACATCATTTTCAATCCATTCAACAAAGGTAAGAATCACTGAACTATTACATTTCAAGCATGAACAGTTTTCTTTGTCTATGCACACAAAAAAAGAATTGGTATTGACAAACCTAACATATACAGAATGAGATGGATAAATTGTCGTCTAAATTACGCAAAAAAAAAAAAATGAAAATCACACTGACATCTCATTTTAACAGGTATATTTACCAAAATTACACAAAACTATCTTGAAATATTAAAGAGTAAATTTATTCAATAAAATCGCCATTAGCTGCAACTACAGCCGCCAGACGAATTCGGAATCTCCTGCAACTCTTCTGGACAGTCTCCTTGTTTATGTTGGTGAATGCTGCCATGATCCTTGCCTTCAGTTCATCTTTAATGTTACAAGGAGTTTTGTTAGTCTCTCGCTCAACTGCACCCACATATAATAATCAAGGGATGCAGTCTGGGGAGTTAGTTGGCCAGATGTAAAGGATGATGTGATCGCAGAAATTGTCTGACAGCCATGACTGTTCTCCTGTTTGTGTGGCATGGTGCAGAGTCCTGATTCTAGACACAGTCTTCTAGCAGCCACCCTCTTGACCCATGGCAGCACTACCTCCGTGTTGAGACTGTGCCTATGTTGGCAGACGAATGGAGGCATAACTTCGCCATCACTAGTGATCACTTCAAACACCTTCGTAATCACCATTAGACTCATCCAACTCTTTCCAGACCCTCTGAACTGTTCTCAGATTGACACTCAAACACTCTGAAATGTTCGTATTAGAGCTTCCGGTGCTAATCCCAAGCAGTATAGCATGCCAAATTTCTAACTGAATTGCAACATGGTGGTCTTTTTTTCTCACAGACCGTACCCAACTGACCTTACTATACTGGACAGTCAACAAAATCAAAACAAACAACGCGCATGCGTGAATTTAACAATATAAAATGGCAACACTTTACCCATATATACAACTCGTTTCATTTTCATTAATTTGACTTTGAGAAGTAAAACTGAATAACTTTACAGTATTGTAAATTATACATAACATGTTAAAAAACATGCACGATACACTCTGATAGCATACTGGGAAGATGCTATATATATATATATATATATATATATATATAGATTAAATCTAAAGCAGTCAGAATCGGTAAATAGGACTGTAGGCATTAACGGATTATTGGTAGAAATTGATAATTAATACTAGATTTTTTTTACAAACCGGTAATATATTTTATATATATAATAAATATCGGATTTCTTTTCGACACCTATAATTAATACGGATTTTTTGGACACTTACAATTAATGTAGGTTTTTGTTTAGACACCTGTAATTAAAATAAGATTTTTTTTAAACACTTATAATTAATGACAGACTTATTTTAAACTATGGTAATTACTATCGAAATTTGTAAACATCTGTAATTAATATGATGTTTTTTTACACCTGTAATTAACATCGAATATTTAAATTACCTTATAATTAATACCGTATTTTTAAACACTTTATAATATTTAGGATTTTTAGACAGCAGATTTTTTTTCCATCCATAAGTAATATCGAGCTTTATTTTAGGGAACTATTACTAATGTCTATTTATTTATTTTTATTTATATTGTTAGAAACGTGTTATTGAGGATGGGGTTTAAATAAAAAAATTAAAAAAAACATTGAGTCTTACTAACTGTAAAATATGGCAATTAAATTTAGGTCGAAATTCTTCGATTTGAGTCGCCTAGTAACGAATGATGGTGAATGGGACACAGAAATTCGAACGTTCCTAGGAATAGTGAAAATGTCCTTCAAAAACTAAGCAATGTATTAAGGGATCAGAAAATGTTTTTAAAAAGAGAGTGCTGGATTGCTGTATAATGTTTAATCACCGTTACAGAAAGCGATCACAGCTTTCCCCTTCTTTATTATAAGGTGAAGTGTCATGACTTCCTGAAGAAGATTTCCTCTTGCAGTCTTTAATTTTACATTCAGAGTCGACCTTTTCCTGGATTAGTGAGTTCGAATTCCACTCGGCCTCGTTACAGTCACTTAAGTGTAAATACCCTTGGTATACTTACTCCTTCCAGCTATGGGTTAAATAGTAAGTCTTTTATGTAGAAAAATCATTGTTATCTAAAAAAAAAATTATAGCTAATGCATTATTCACTGAAAAAAAAGTATTGCTATGAATTTTTATGTATTAACCCGACCGACTTTATCACGTTAAACCTTATTTTAGTGGATACTCGTATTTGAGTAGACGCCCCGTTGATTTATTAAACAGTATGTATCTGTCTATATTTCTGAGATGAAGTATTATGTACGCTATTTACATTGTTCGGACTATCATGTTCATCTTTGTTGCCATATTTATCACAATGTTTCGGCCGTTGTACGCTCCGGCCTTCTTCAGGTGGTTGGAATGTCGAACTGAACCCTTTATTTCCCTCACTTGGGTAGACTGTTCTAGTACCACGTGTCATGTCTAGTGGATGTCAGTTATCTCCTGTTAATTCCCCCCTCTCTCCACCGCCTTAACCAGGTATTGAACTCACACTCTTTAGGTCCTGTCACTGGATCTAACTCTACCATTTATCCACTCTACCATGTGTCCTTAGAAATAGCACGTAGAACAATCTACCTCAGCGAGCGAAATAAAGTTTTCAGTTCAACATTCCAACCACCTGAAGAAGGCCGGAGCGTACAAGGGCTGAAACGCTGTGATAGACATGGCAACAAAGATGAGGATGATTGTCCGAATAATGTAAATATTAAACAGTATCTTAATTTATTTTCGTCTACTGGCCTGAATATTCGAGAAATCTTATCAAAGAAAATATGCTCTCCGGTAGGAGTTGAACCTGTGACATCTAGAGCAGAGTGAATTGCCATTAGATCCGACGTGCACTAACCGACTGAGCTACAGAGAACCTTTTCCGATCAGTCGAGGTTGAATAGTGTCTTTAATTGAAATCTTTCTCGTCATAGATTCTCGAAAATTTCATATCTGTCCAGTTTCGTATCCAAACGTAAACAAAGTAATTTTCTAAAGAAGTAATGGACTTTTGTTTAGTAATCCGACAGATTTTATCACTTTATACGTCACCAGGCCGGTAGACGAATATATATATATATATATATATATATATATATATATATGTGTGTGTGTGTATACTGTTTAATGAATAAACGTAACATCTACTCACATATGAGTATCCACTAAAAATAACATTTAAAGTGGTAACAATCCATAATTTTTTTTATGTTTAACATTCTTTTTATAGATACAAGTATTTTAGTAAATGCTCTGTTTATAATAAACAGTATTAAACAACATTTACCGGCCTGAATATTTAATACTGTTTATATAAACAGAGCATTTACTAAAATACTTGTATCTATAAAAAGAATGTTATCATAAAAATGTCTTTAAATAATTGTCGGACTTTGTCCATTTCATAATGTAATCCATAATATATTCAGGTTTTAAATAAAAACTAATAGCCGGATGTAGATAACCTTGATTTATGTCTTTCCCAATTAAATTCATCGAGGTAGTGGAAGATTATTGGCTCGACTCCCTTCTAAAATCTGACCCAACATCAAAATATTTTTGGAACTTATTTTGGGTGGATCGAGAACTTTTCAGTGCCATCCTTGTACAATTAAATCCCGTTTTGCAACTTGATAACTGCTTTTTTTTTTATCTTTGATTAATAGATGATGATGTTTACATGAGTGATCCAACGAACAGAGAAGAATATGTTTTGAACGAGTATGGTTTGATCTTTGTTGGTACATCTGCTAACATCAGCAAGAGGAATTGGAACTTCGCTCAGGTAAGACACTGACTAACCAAGACACTTAGGAAACGCGGAGTTAGATAACTCAATGGAATTATTATAAAATCCTATTACAATTGTGCTTGTCCCTCCCGTCGTTAGTTCGCACGACCGGTACGTCCTGCCAATACCACGTAAATAATGAACTATTCTGATTTGGAAGCGTTGAAAGAAAGAAGGACTGAGAGAAAGAAAGAAGGAAGCAATTGTTGAGAGAAAGAAAGAGGGGATGAGAGAAAGAAAGAAGGAAGCAATTGTTGAGAGAAAGAAAGAGGGGATGAGAGAAAGAAAGAAGGAGGTATTGAGAGAAAGAAAGTGGGGAAGAAAGAGAAAGAAAGAGGGGAAGAGAGAAGGAAGGGTTGAGAGAAAAAAAGAAAGAAAGAAAGATGGAGAAAGAAACAAACAAAAAGAGAAGGAGAAAGAAAGAAAGAAAAGTGGAGAGAGAAAACAGATTAAGCTCATAAGAACAGATACTACACTTTGACTTCAGCCAAAAGGGCGAGAAGCGATTGTATGTTCTTGCCGACGCACGTTGGCAAGATTGTGACATAAATAAAAACAGAAAATTAATAAATTATGTTAAAACTTTTTGAAAAGTTTTTCCCGGGATTATTTACAGTTTAACTGGAGAATTCCCTTTTATGAATACAGTCTCGTTTTATTTCCAAGTTTGTTTGTTTTTTGTTTTTTTTTTGTTTTTGGGGGTTTTTTTTTTTGTTTTTTTTTGCAACGTAATATTCGAGTATCTTCGTTTACATCATACTGTCAGCCATAAAACTGCCATCATCATCCACTCTGGACTAGCAAGACATCCCACCCCCCAAAAATGGGTCACTTACTAAGTAAATGCTGACAGTCTTAAATATACATAAATAAAATTAATCTATTCCTTAACCTTTGACATACTGGAGGTGATTTTGCTTGCAAAGAAAAATGTTTATCCTGCCACTGCAAGTAAGTCAGATGAATAATAGCGAATTTGAATTTTGCAGTTGTGTTGTCATATCCTGCTATGGCAACAGAAAAATGATCATGACTGAAATTAAGCAGTACAGTATAGGAGCCTTGAAAAACAATGCAGTGGAAAGGAAAGTAGTGAATAATGCAGAGTGTTAAAGATTAAACAAGTAAATTCTTCTTCTTTATGTGCCGTGTCTTCACAAAGCGTAGGTGATCATGGCTCTCCACAATTTTCACTACTTTGTAGCTCTTAATAAATTTTGTCTTTTCGTTATCTCTCCTAAACCTTGAAAGAATACATGTACTGATTCTATTTTTTTTTATTCTGAATTTCAGTTCCAAGGAAATATTCTGGATTGTGTTATGTACCTCTTGGACAAGAGTGAAATGCCATACACCGATCGCGGCAAAGCGATGCTTGTGTCTCGAAGACTTTCAGCTATGGTAAGAATCAGGGATGCATTTTGTATTCAAAGACAGTAGTCTCCTCATATCCCCGAGAGAATCAATGCATGAAATCACAAATAGTATCGAAAGATCCATATTTTATGTTTAGTTTTTCAAATACAGTGAAACCTCAGTTCTCGAACGTCTCACATGTCGAACAAATCGGTTTTCGAACAGAAAATTCGAGGGAAAAAAGCTTCGGTTATCGAACAAAATTTCGGTTCTTGAACCACATTGCCGAACCGAGTTAATCCGAACGGAATCATTTCTTAGTTGACCGCCATGTTGTATACATTCATGTGTTGTGCTGTGCTTTTCTTTTCCAGTTTTATTGTACTGTGCCTTTCTTTCTCATCATTAGTCCACAGTAATGGATCCAAAGAAAGCTAGAAGTGATACTGGTAAAGGAAAAAGAAACGTTAAAGAGAAAAATAATTGTTGATGATATTGTCTCTTCTTACTCAGTTTCATATAGCAAAATTAACGATCTATACTAATAAATAAATAGACGATCATGTCTTTCCTTCCTTTTCCCAAACAATAACATCTCTTTCCTTCCCCTTACGCCATCAACTCTTCTACATACAGGTACGTTTAAATTGAAGCGTTCGTCTATAGCTGTTTAGTATTGTTTTTTTTTTTTTTGTTTTTTTTAAGATTTAATGATTTTCATTAGTTTTGTGTATAAACTTGTGCACAAAGTACTGTTGTTAAAGCAATCATCTTGGGACCAGGAACGGATTAATCCATTTTACATTGATTCCTATTGGAAAAATAGTTTCGGTTTACGAACATTTCGGGTTACGAAGGGTCTTCAGGAACGAATTAAATTCGTGAACCGAGGTTCCACTGTAAATATATACCTAAGATAATGCTTAATATTTTAATTAGATACGAGAAGGGATTAACAAAAATAACTACTAATAAATTATTACAATTATAAATACATTATAATTTAAAAAAAAAAAACATCGGGCTCTTCGATGTGGTATAATTGTTAGCAAGCTTACCTCACTAGATCAATTACGACTGATTAGTGAGTTCGATCCTCCATGGGTCACCCATAGTTTTGGCCTTGTGCCACAACTAAGCTACGCTTTTACAAAGCGTGTATACGAAAATCCCGGCCTTTTGGTTAGGCTTTTTCGTATTCCTATATAAAAAAGCCCAAGCCACAGGTGTCCTTCTCCCCAATCAGTACCTCTCCCTTGGGATGGCGCTGGGTTTATTTCCAGGCGTCCTCAAGAGGGGAAGTGCCGAAGAGGAGGAGAGAAGAAAAAAAGGTGCATTAGCCATAATTGGCTTTTTGAGGGATCTGGTGAAAATGACTCGGGTAAATATTCCATAAAAAGGAAAAAAAATATTTCGAAGAATGAGAGAAAAGGAAGAAGGAAATAGATAGAAAAAGAAAGAAAGAACGGTACATTTGCCTCTTGAGTTGGTAGATATATATATATAATTAAAAAAATCATAGGGCACTTTGACGAAGTGTAATTGTTAGCAAGCTTTCCTTGCTAGATCAATTACGACTGAGAATCCACACTGCGATCCACACTGCGATCCACACTGGGTAATCCATACGTTCGGCTTTGTGCTACGCTTAGAAAAGCCCTATAATAAAAAGTCATGTGGTTGTAGAGGACCGTGGGGGGGGGGAGATATAAAGAACACACGTGGGTTAAAATTTCCTGCTAGCCGGTTCAGCTACCTGAGAATGTTGGACTTTAATTAAGTCCGAAGAAGACAAAGAAAACAAACAAGACCGATAATTATATATAAACAAATATATGTATTAACAACAAGTTACAAGCACATGGACAGTTACATTGAGTTTGTATGGTGAATATTATGTGTGTATTGTGGTGAGTGTTCGTACGTACGTGTATTGGTGTCGTTCTTAGCGTGTTCCAAGAATTTGGGAAACGCTGTATTGGTGAGAGCTCACATATTGGTATTAGCTGAAATGAAAAAAGAAGAGAAAGAATTACCTCACCTCCACGCGAGGTGGGATACGGCCCAAGGCATGAGAAGAAAAGAGAGATCGAGGCAAAGGGTCACCCAGTATTTATAGCAAGAGGCCCCTGGTGAAGGATTAAGGAACTAAGGAGGAGCTAACTCCGACATGGTAATCGGTCGTTGGTGATTTCAACAACTAGGTGAGCGATTGGAAATTTTGGTGGGTGATAGAGGATTTTGAGTATTAAAAAGATCTTTCAATATATGCTATTCGAAAAAAAATATTCAGAGGAGATATACAAAAAACCTGTATTAAAAAAAATAATAAAGACGGCTATTTGGTTTGGTTTATTTTGATTTACGGTATATCAACCTCAAGGAGTTATTTAATGTCCGATCAGGGTGGACCTAGGAACAACAGTAGTTAAGAGGTGGTTCCACACTCGTCAAACCCCACAATCTCTCGATCAGTTGCCTTAGTGTCGGATGAAGTTTATCGTCATACCCAGAATGTCTCATTTGGTTTCCCTGTAGAGGTACAATCGGGGTATTCTAAAGCCCTAGCCGACAAGGCGTGAAGCTAATTGGGAATAATTCACATTCCTAGATAAGATATAAATATCACCACAACGAACATTTTTGTATTTTTTACAGTTCTAACGAGGGACATTAGCATTCAAATAGTTCTTTAGACGAAATAATGTATTTTTCGGACATAAATTAGATAAAGGAAGACTAAGAACAACAAAAAAATATTCACTCAATTTTTATTATTTACTAGTATTTTATATTCTTTTAAATTTTATAATTAGTAAGAAAAATCGTTTAGTTTTTTGTTAACACTTGCAACACTAACCCTTACCATAAAACTAACCTTGACCTTAAAAGTAAATTATATAGTTTTCAATGAAGTTTACATTCCTTTGTTCTTCGCAGATCGCGAGAGCTATTAGGGAGATGTGATTAAATATATTTTAATGTTTTAAAATAGCCATTCAGTATTACTATTGCTTAGATAATAAGCATTATAACATAGCACAAATAGCTATCTTGTGGGAAAAGGAATTTTCCACAATATATGCATTTTTTATATATTTATGGTTATTTTTTAACTTTTATCAAAAACGATATTCTTGTACATGTAGTTATAGATAATATTATACATTAATTGCTAGTTTTTTAAATTAATAACTATTTGTGCTTAGTTGTTGACATTAATAGCTATCTGCTGATGTGTTAAAATATTGGAATAATGCAATAATAAAAATTTAGATTTCTTCTCTCTGAGAGATGTCGCGATCTGTTAATACGGTAGTAGCAGCAGCAGCTGCCGCATGTCAGTGTGCCTTGTTATCTCCCTTTGCTTTTTTTTTATTTTTTTATTTTTAAGTCCAAACCAGTAACAAACATTTAGCAAACAATTTTGGTATGCTTTTAAATATTTACTATCTGGGCGGTGAAAAATTTTTACCACGTGAAAGCAGGCGATGATGCCAAAAATATTGGGACTCCTTCTGTAAATGGAACCAAATAAAGAGAAAAACAATATTTAAAAAAATGTTATATTTGTTTTGACTTGCTTGTATTAATAAATTGTATATCATAACTAAATTAGGTAAACGAAGCCGATGACGGTGGCGTATTGGTAGGAAACTGGAGTGGTAACTACGAAGGCGGCATATCACCCCTCGAGTGGCAGGGAAGTGAGAGAATCCTTGAACAATACTGGGCAACAAAAAAGAGAGTAAAGTATGGCCAATGCTGGGTATTCTCCGGAGTCCTGACAACAGGTTTGTTCATTTCAAAGTAATTGTTATAAAAACAGATGTTAATTATATTTTTGCTTTATAAGATTTCCCGAATATTCAGATCGGTAGACGATAATAAATAAATACAAATATAGTGTTTAAAAATATAAAAAAAAATAAAAATAATAGATCGCCAACTCAAATGTAGATATCCACTAAAAATAACGTTTAAGTGATAAAAATCTGTCGAATTAATAAATTAAAAAATCCAGAAATTGCTTTGTTTACATTTGAATATTGTTATAACTCGCTACTATCGGTTATAATATTATGTCGCGCTTAGGCTACTCTACAACGCACTTCTTTGACACGCTTTGAGTTCTTTATTTAAGGCGTCTTGCCTAGTTCATTTTATGTTACCGGTAGTGTCTTATTTATTCCACAACAGATACGAAACTGAGTAGATAAGAAATTTCAAGAATCTCTGACTAGAAAGATTTCCCTTAAAGAAACTATTCAGCCGGCAATGTCTTTCGTAGCTGAGTCTGTCCATAGATTTGAAAGAAAAAATGCTTACACCATTATCATTATCTAAAAGTGGATTTTATCCTTCTGTTAAGCTCTGTTTTGCTGATGTCACAGTCTGCTATAATCGCACTTATTGTTTCAGAAACAACTCGTAGATAGAACTTCAGTCAGTCAGTGATACACGCTTGGGCGACCATGTCTTTCAAATTATGACTGACTAAACAAAAGAAGCGGCTCGAATTGAGGAATGGGAGAAGCCGAGTTCGAATTTCATTATATTCACTTACGTTAATACCCTTGAGAAAGATATGAATCCACTTCTCCCCCAGGAGGACAGTAAATAGCTAGGAAGATTGGGTTCTATAGACTTGGATGGCAACCGGTCTAGGAGAAGAAAACTCTGAATTCAAAACCGGCCTTGTTGGGCTCCGTCAGGTTATCTTACCCAAGAAACTCCGCTTCTATTGAGGCTGAAGTACATTTGATGCCTTTACGACCCTGATGGGTCATGGGGTTCACGATCTCAATCAAGACAAGATTTTCCCGAAGCAGTTTGCCGTTTCTTTCTAAAGTAGACTGGTTGCCAACCAAGGCTAGAGGACCCAATATGTTCTACTATTCAACCCATAGCTGGGGGAGAAGAGAGGGTCTAATATTTTTTTCTAAGGGTATTTGCGAGTAAGTGAATGTAACGAACCCGGCTGAAATTCGCACTCGGCTCTCCGATTTCTCTTTTTGAGTTGATATCCATTACACCACACGCACATCATTTAGAGCTTAGTTAGTCTAATTATGATGTTTTATTAAAGTTGTGTCTTATTAAAATGTCTGTTCAGCGTGTAATCATTAATATGTCTCCGAAAATGTCTCCCCAAACAGTATGCCGTGCTCTTGGTATCCCGTGCCGAAGTGTAACCAATTTCAGCTCTGCCCACGACACAGACAGCAGTGTAACCATTGACAAGTTCTACAATGAAGACTTCGAAAGTGAAGACTATATGAACGAAGACAGCGTTTGGTAATTTTTCTTTTCTTCTTTATCTGCCGTGTCCCGTCATTTCGCAGGCGATCATGGCTCTCCACAATTTCCTGTCCTTTGTATCTTTTAATAAATTTTATCTTTTTTTTTTATTTCTCTCAAACCCCGTTCCGCTATCCATTTACTTAAGCTCACCAGATAGGCTATGTGTTCTTTTCCTCTGTCCCTTCTTGCCTTCAATCTTTCCTGTGAGTATCAGATTTTCCAAACCTTCTTTCCTCATTATGTGTCCTAAACATTTTCAGTCCTTCTCTGTCTCTTCCTAGTGTTAAGTATAAGTGTCCTTTTTGTTTCCATTTTCTCTAAAACTTCGTCGTCGTTCACATGTTCGGTGCATGGTATCCTCAGCATCTTCCTGTAGGACATTTCTGTTGCCATAAGTCTCCTCTCCATCTCTGAGGAAATTGTCCAGCATTCGCTGCCATATAAGAGGAATGATATGACGTAACAGTTTCTACTCTTTTCTTTGTTCCTAACAATTTTTTTCTGTTTCGTATTACTCTGCTTAGCTTTTGAAAAGCATCTTTAGCTATCCCAGTAAGTCTTCAGATTTCCGTCCTATGTTAAATCATTTCACAGATATTTAAATTGTTGCACTTGCTTGATTTTGTTATTTCCAATTTGTAATTTGCATGTTGGTATTATGAGCATCTTTCAGTAGAACCAGGTTTCTGTAGTTTCAAGTCTCTTCTTCACCTGTGAGAAAATTGTCCAGCATTCACTGCTATATATGAGGACTGATATAATGTAACAGTTCAGTACTCTTTTCTTTGTTTCAGTTGCTTCATGTCTCTTCTTCATCTCGAAGGAGATTGTCCAGCATTCACTGCCATATAGGAGGACTGATATTACGTAACAGTTCAGTACTCTTTTGTTTGTTTCTGTTGCTTCATGTCTCTTCTTCATCTCGAAGGAGATTGTCCAGAATTCACTGCCATATTGGAGGACTGATATTACGTAACAGTTCAGTACTCTTTTCTTTGTTTCTGTTGCTTCATGTCTCTTCTTCATCTCGAAGGAGATTGTCCAGAATTCACTGCCATTTCTTTGTTTCAGTGTTTGTTTCTGTTGCTTCATGTCTCTTCTTCATCTCGAAGGAGATTGTCCAGAATTCACTGCCATATTGGAGGACTGATATTACGTAACAGTTCAGTACTCTTTTCTTTGTTTCTGTTGCTTCATGTCATCTCGAAGGAGATTGTCCAGAATTCACTGCCATATTGGAGGACTGATATTACGTAACAGTTCAGTACTCTTTTCTTTGTTTCTGTTGCTTCATGTGTCTTCTTCATCTCGAAGGAGATTGTCCAGAATTCACTGCCATATTGGAGGACTGATATTACGTAACAGTTCAGTACTCTTTTCTTTGTTTCTGTTGCTTCATGTCTCTTCTTCATCTCGAAGGAGATTGTCCAGAATTCACTGCCATATTGGAGGACTGATATTACGTAACAGTTCAGTACTCTTTTCTTTGTTTCTGTTGCTTCATGTGTCTTCTTCATCTCGAAGGAGATTGTCCAGAATTCACTGCCATATTGGAGGACTGATATTACGTAACAGTTCAGTACACTTTTCTTTGTTTCTGTTTCTTCATGTCTCTTCTTCATCTCGAAGGAGATTGTCCAACATTCACTGCCATATTGGAGGACAGATATCACGTTACAATTCAATAGTCTTTCTTTGTTTCTAACAGTTTTTTTTTTGTATCAGGCAATGGTGTTTTGATCAACTTCAAAGTAAGCATCTTTCACACACTGATCTCAATGTCTCTTCCATAGACTTAGTAGTCTCAAACAGTCTATTAAGTTTTCTGTCTGGAACACGGTCAGCTGCCTTGTTAGTCAGTTATGTGCCATGCGTGATACACGCTTAAGCGATCATGTATCTGACGAGGCTGACTTGATGTAGCCGTAACTTCCATGCTAACAGTTTCTTTTCTCGCACTTCTCGCTTGTGGAACTCCTGCCATGCTTTTCAGTCAACTTTAATCTGCAAAAATTTAAATGCAATGTTAATCGCTATCTAGTGTCCTCCTGATTATTCTTTTCTCTTTCTTCTCACTACTAATGTTTCTGTTCCTAATTCCTCCACATCCTGTAATCCCTTGCGTTTTAGTGGCTTTACTGCCTTACTTGGGGTGAATCCGATTAAAAAAAATGTTGTGACCGATCTGGGCATCATCACCGAACTGACGTTGAATTCCCAACCGTCACGATGAATGATTGACCTTTCAAATAGGTTCTTTGCTTTAAGCGTTTATTGAGATTCTAGTTCACCCCAGACCTTAGTTAAACATATATATCCTCTGCATCAGTTAACCCCTTCCCCGCCAATTATTTGTGGGGAAAAACGTCTCATTTTCAGACGAATTTTTTTTTTTATTTGTTTTTAATATAGTAACTAAGAAACTGAGGTACCTTAAAGTACCCGAGTGGTGGCTAGCACCTCTACCAAACGTATGAGTTGACAATTGGGCTCGTTTCAAGGGTATAAAAAGAATCAAGATCGACGTATAAACACATTTATAGCTGGTTTTGGACGTGTTTATTCGTCTGTGTCTGGAAACGACACTTTCGGTATAAACGTATATACACGTCTACGCCGGGGAAAGGGTTAAACATGCTGAAAAATTAGTCGGTTCCTTATTCCATTTGAGAAAGTACCTAACCCCATCTGGAATATCACTGCTATAACCGGACTGGAACCACCCAATCCAGTCTTTCATTTTCGAGTTGATTAATAATCAATATTCTTTGTATTATTTCGAACTCCACCCTTGTGCAAATTAATTATACAGGAAGATGTGGAGAGTCATGATCATTTTCACCCTTGTGCAAATTAATTGAAACAAAACGAATAATTCCGTTATTATTTACTTTTTTCGTATCTTTCCAATGAAACATGACCCAGTGCACATGTTAGTACATCGTATGTTCATTACACAAAGTCGTTCCTTGCAGATTGACCACAGATTCTCGATTGGATTTAAATCAGGAGAGTTTCCGGGCCAGTCTATAGTTCTTTGACTTGCTCACGGGTAAGGCTTGACAGTGTTGTTCGTACAGTGTTACAATTTTCGTACACTTCTTTGGAGTAACGTTCATTGCAGAAAAATTACCGTAGGACAACTAATCGACAGTCGAGACAATTGTGCCTGGGCGTGATAAAAATCTGATGCCATCACGGATGACGCCTTATTTTTCAAGGCCAAACAAATTTTATCATACACGCTGAAAATAGATTCATATTACTACACACCACTGCGTATTACCTAATCTAAGGAAAACATAGAAATCGATTACACCCTGCCATTCCATTGGATTTAAAACTGACCGTATGGTGAAAGAAAGAAAACTAAAGTGGTTGTTTCTATTAATTTGCACAAGGGTGTATTGATATCATCTTGCTTGGTATAGATATTATTTTACTAGATTTAAAAAAGCGGTACGAACCCGCTATCATGATCATATGTCAAAAACCATCGAATTTGAATATAAAAGGCTAAAAAAAACACCACTAATGTCCTTTAGGATGGTGTCATAGTGACTGTAGGTGTTGGTGTTACTCTCATCTAGTGATTATAAGTTCAATCCTTGGATCTGGTAGTGATGCACCAATTCAACAAGAACAAACAACAACTATATTACAGGGACAAAAATATCTAAAAAATCAAGATATATCAGCCAATGGAAACCTGATGATGACCAGAGGTTACTTGGTCGAAACGTTGTGCCTGTAATAACATTTATATCAACCAAGATGACAGCTATAGTTCGAAATAATACAAGAATAAAGCAGATACTCTATTAACACTACTAGATTTGTTTGTTGGTTGTTTTTGTTTAGCGACATATCAACACCTCTATGGGTTATTTAATTTTGTATGTAATTTTATCTGTTTATTTATTTTATTTGTTCATTTATTTTTTTAGATAATGATAGTTTTAGTGATAAAAGACTTAAAGATTAACCCATAGCTGGGGGAGAAGTGGATTCATGACTTTCCCAAGGGTATTTGCGCGTCAGGAAATATAATGAAACCAGATAGAATTGGAACTAGGTTTCCCGATTAGCAATTCCGAGCCATCAACGATTGCATCACCTGCACATCCAAGCTTAAATCATCTGGTATTCTCCAGCTGTCACCCATCTAGGTATTGACCAGGCTAAACGTTGCTCAACTTCGGGAGACTGCGTTTCAACTTGATGTGGCCGTAAACCATTTCTAGCCGCTCATCCAAGCTTACGATACCCATCACTGACCAGGTTCAACGTTGCTTAACTTCGGGGATCGTGCAGGAACCGGTGTTTCAACGTGATATGGCCGTAAGTCTACTCTGCTAGAAAGCGATTAATTTGAATTTTGTTTAATGGGTATTCGGCCCAAGGGATGTGTCAGTATTATTCCTTTTGCTCCAGAAAGAAGCAAAATCGCGGAGCGAGATCTTATACACCTCATGGAATAATAAGGACTTGTCTCTTTATCTCTTGAGTTTTTAAACTTCATAAAACACAAAATTTAACGAACGTATGTTTCTAGCTGTCTACCAAAAGTAATATTACTGAGAAGGTATCGTCCTGGGTATGACAATAAACTAATCTACACCCGGTAGCAAGACCTCTGATCGATAGATTTTGAGTTGCGTTGACCCATCTCTTAATTGTTGTTCACAGGCCCACCTTGATCTGGGGTGGTAGCAACTGTCAGGGTCACAGCTATGGGCATATAGTCAACACCCTAACAGGGCTCAAAACATTAATAAAATATAAAAATATATTTTTATAGTAAAAAAAATAAGCAATACATTTTCATTGTAAAAAAAAATACCAGCAATATATTTTGATAGAGCAATACATTTTTAAAAAAAAGTTACCAAAGCTCCCAAGAAAATTAAATTTCGGTATTATATAAGCCATGAGGAGCTGATATGACGTTAAAAAACAACCAGAGAGAAGGAGACTAAACCAAAATGTTTGATTTTTGTTTTCTTATGTTTTAAACCTACTTTTCTTCAGTATTATAGTGGTTAAATTTTGGGATATTTCAGGAACTTTCATGTGTGGAACGAGGCTTATATGTCTCGCCCAGATCTGATTGGAAAAGATTATGGTGGATGGCAGGCGATCGACGCAACTCCTCAAGAAACTAGTAATGGTAAGTAATCAGACGGGAATCTTAATTTTCCTGATCATGTGCGGCTAGCGAAACGGTGGATAGTCGAATCGGCGATCCGAGTTCAAATTCCAGTCTAGCCTGCTGCGTTCATTTTCACGCAAATACCATTAAGAAAGGTATGCCTTCATCTCTTCTCCTCCAACTACGGGTTAAACAACACGATAGACTGTGCTCTCTAATCCTGGCTGGCAGCCATTCTAGAAGAATTCAAAGCGGTGGAGAAGGCAACGGGAAACACCCCACTATCTTTCTCAAAGAGTCGTGAAAATTCGCACAAATTAAAAGAACGTTGGGAAGAGCCATGATCCGCTACGCCCTGAAGAGATAAGGCATTAAAAATGTGTTCCAGTCGCAACATTCAAATGCATTAATATACAAATAAATAAAAGCAATTCATACAACAGAAACGAATTGTTCTTCATGAGGTTAAGATTTAATTTTCGAATGTATGTATTCATTTTCAATAATAGTGAGATATACACTTTATTTAGGGTCTAGCCTTCAGTTTTAAATAGACGGGTCGGGAAGATTTACTTTTTCAAAATCCATCCGGGAAATCCTTATTTCAACGACTCTATTTATCGAATATTTAAATGCAACGCTTTTTACTAGTAATGCTTGCAGTTTAAATTAAGAGTTAGGAGAAATTTTCTTAAATATTTAATAAAAGCTACAAATTTTTAAAATGAAAATCTCAATATATTACACTGTTATGTATCGTGAATCGAAGGCTGAGCATCAAAGATTCAATCTGTAGATTAATTGATTCGTTTTTTAAGGTTTATCAACCCAGGTTATTTAAAGCCAGAAAAACATTTTTACATTGCAAGATTCTTTTTGGAGATAATAAGGATTTAGTGTGACAAGAGTGAGACAGTTTGAACGAGATGTAAAGTCGATAGCAGATGGAATTCTCGCTGGCCAAAGAGAAGATCTGGTTTGTTCGTCTGTTATGAGAGAAAGAGAGAGAGAGAGGGAGGGAGAGAGAGAGAGACAGACAGACAAAATTAGCGGTAAGATGTCAGAGGTGTCACTTAACTACCCACCGGCCTGTGTCCGGTGAATCTATGAATAAGGAACACAGTATGTGTTTTCTTATTTAAAGGCATCGACCTATATAAGTTATATATTGCTGAAATCTAAATAGTTTGTATGCAATATTTTTTTGCGTGCATTTTTTTTAGATAATAATAGTTTAAAGATTACTAATTAACCCATAGCTTGGGGACATGATGCGGATTCATACGTTACGCCGGGTAAGAGATTCAAGTCTTGAATTTGCATCTGCTTATAATATTATTGTGACGAATGCTATCATTTCATCCCAAACAAAAGAATAAAGCTACTAAGACGCAAAGGGTTACTGGCCGTGGAAGAGTTAGAAACGGGAACATAGCTAGATAGCGAGGACAGAGGAATAGCTAATCATGAGGACAGCAGATAGCGATTGGCATTGCATTTAAAGTTATGCAGATTAAAGTTGATTAGAGTTCCACAAGCGAGAAAAGAAAGTATTAGCATAGAATTTATGGTTTGTTGAGACCTCGTGGCCAGTCTAGTATTGCGCTTAAGTTCAAAAAGTCTAGACATCATTGCTCATCTAGCAGTGAACCAAACTTCCTGGCAGCTGACCTAGCAATGGATTCAGTGTAGTCTTGCCACTTCATGTCAACCGAAAACGATAGCCCAAGAAGGCGCAGATAGTCGCTCTCCTGGAAGTCAGTGTCAGTCATACTGATGGAAGGTAGAAAGAGTTCTCACAGGTGTTTAATAGAGAGCAGTTTAGTTAAAAGCGTTAAAATTAACAAGCCAGCCTTTGCCTCAGTTAACAACAGACTGAAGGTCGTTTTGCATATCAGTAACCAATTTTGACATTATCAAACTGATCAGACATAATATCAAAAGAGGAGGTAAATGGTAGTGTCATCACCATAGATACCAAGTTGTGAGCACATACCATAAAGATAATATTGTACTTTTTAAATACTCATCTTGTCAATTATAATTAAATTGTCTTAATAATATCATAATGTAATAACATCATAATATATATATATATATATATATATATATATATATATATATATATATATATATATATATATATATATATATATATATATATATATATATATATATATATATATATATATATATATATATATATATATATATATATATATATATATATATATATATATATATATATATATAATATATATAATATACTATATATATATATATATATATATTGTTTTATATAATAAATATAATTACATATATATATAAATATATATATATAATTGTTTTAATATACCATATATACCATATATACAAGTTGTGAGGCCATACCATAAAACTAATATTGTACTTTTTAAAACTGTTCTTGTTAATTATAATTAAATTGTTTTAATAATATATTATTATAATAATATAATATATATATATATAAAATATAAAAATATTATAATAATAATAATATAATAATATATATATATATATATATATTGTCTTAATAATATCAAGACAGGTGTAAATGGTAGCTACCAAGTTGTGAGCCCATACCATAAAACTAATATTGTACTTTTTAAAAACTCATCTTGTTAATTATAATTAAATTGTCTTAATAATATAATATCATAATAATAATAATATATATATATATATATATATATATATATATATATATATATAAATATATATATATATATAATTGTTTTAATATTTGATATTTTCTTTAAGGTATTTATTGTTGCGGCCCATGTCCTGTACGTGCAATCAAAAATGGCGACATTGGAGTTAATTATGACGCTTCATTCATTATGGCCGAAGTGAACGCTGACTCTTTCGCCTGGATGCGGCAAGAGGACGGAAGCTACAGTAAATTCCAGTTATCCAGCGACTCGTAAGTTTTTTTGTTTTGTTTTTTGTTTTTTTTTTTAATTTAAACGTTTGACTGATATATTGTATCCTTATTTATTTTTAATCATTCCACCCAAAGCAAGGCAATAATGCCACTAAGACGTAAGTAGTTACTGGGGGTGAAAGGACTTTAGAAGAGGGAACAGGATACCCAAACCTAAACAGGAAACACGAGATAAATCTGTAACCCTGTTCAAAAGACAGAAGAAGAGCATCAATATGAAGCATCTCGTCTGATTCGTAAATACAAGTCTCAAGAACCACTCAAGGTAGATGATTACTAAGTGCGGTTGTTATATAGTCATAAAAGGATGGAGTAACCTGATGGGTGAAGAGCTGGATTACCTTTTCCAAGTGTATTTGTGCGAAAGTGAATGCAACAAACACAGCTGGGATTTGAACTCGGATCACCGATTTTTCTATTACACCACCCGCACATCCTATAGAATTCAGAATCAGAATTTTAATTCTGCTCACTTTTTTTTTTTTTTTTACGGTTTCCTTTGCAATTATCACGGTCTTGAATGCCCCCCCCCGCTCCTGATTATCCTAGATTCATTAAACGGCTTTTTTCTGTTTATATCGATTAACGATGTTTATTTTATTTTATAGAATTGGTCGAAAAATTAGCACCAAATCCGTGCTGAAACCAGAGAGAAACGACATCACCCATGAATATAAATTTGCTGAAGGTAAGCCCAAGTCTTTAGCACTTACACTGCTGCATTGTTATAGCATTGTTGCCTGTTTGTACTTTTTGTGAAAATACGAAACTGCCATTTGCTAGAAATAATGAAAACAACTACATTTCTCATTTTGGTTTCGATCAGATACTCTGCAGTAAAGATTTTAAAAAATGGCTCCCAAACGTTGCCTCGTATGTGTGACGGAAGAGGATAACAGGTGAAAGATGATCAAAGATTTAGAAATAGTTTCTTAAAAAAATCATATGCTAAAAATAAATATGATTTCAAAATTTAAAATATTATAATGGGTTACTTGTAATTGCAGATATGAGTCCCAGAATAAATAATTATGAATAATCACTGACCGATTTTATCATCGTGATATTTTGCATTATATCAAGTATTAAGATTATAATAGCTAAAGTCAACAAATTGGAGGAGAGAGTTATCAATGATAATGTTCTGTCTACGAATCCGCGATTATCTCCCTTTAAACCCTTTCTCCGTTTTTATTTTTAAATGTACTTTTTATCATATAAAATTTGGTGAGGCGCGAGCAAATTTTCCACTCCGAAAATGCGACACATAGGGAAAAGTTTGGGAACCACTGGATTAAACTGAACAATTTCACCAACGCACAATAAAATGTGTCACAAAATTGCTCGTAGTGTATATACGTCTACTCTGGTTTGGAAATAGTATTAAACGCTAATTTATAATATTATATCGTTTTTTTGTTGTTTTTATTTTTGTTTTTTTTTTTTGTTTTTTTTGGTTAATGTAAATTACTTTTATAGTAAGGGATTATTATTATTATTATTTCCATGTCGACAATATAGCTAAATTCCCAAATGAATTCTGTAGACAAGACAGAAAAAAAGGCTTAGACAGAAGCGTCTATCTTTTTAAATTTGGATTTTTAATGTAACTATAACAACAAAAACATTTCGATTTCATTTTTGCCTTGAAAATGTCGGAAGACGACACGCGTCGGCAAAATGTAAGATTTTTTCCAATTGTCATTTGATACCAATCTGTCTTGTCCACAGAATTCGTCTGGGAATTTAACTAATATATATATATCGACGGCAGGCAATGTAAGTTTTGTAAAGACGTTTTCTCTTTTGTGTGTTTTTGTTCTTTTTAACCAGTAAAACTGTCGGGACGTAGAGTGATCACATGTACTGCCGCTGCAGTAGTAGTGGTGTTTCCTGGACAGCCTCTCCAGGCTATTTTTGAATTCAGAGTTTCTCTTTCTTCTAAACTGGTTGCCACCCAAGGCTATAGGATTCAATCTCTCCTGCTATTTAACCATAGCTGGGGAGAATATATGGATTCATACCTTTTCCGATAGTATTAGCAATCTGCGGTGTTAGGGTGAAACTACCTGAACCGCAGCCTATTCTATGTTCGTATTCATTATCTTTTATACTAAATTTATTCAATTTCTTTATCTTCTATACTAAATTTGTTATAACTGATCCATACACCGAGCAATATGTAACTAATACAAGACAGCCCTGTCAGTCATAACTGGACACGTGAACAACGCATGTAACAATCGAACAGGTGTAAGTAGCATAACGGTTATCAACACGGAAAGCGGAAACGGCGATCCGAGTTCAAATTCCAACCTAGTTAGTTGTGTTCACTTGAAAAAAAAAACGCATTAATCTATATTTTTTTATCTACCCTCCATGCTATTTCATTCTTGGAGCTATCAAATCTTCCCTTTTACCTTTGCAGGAACCGCTGCTGAGCGCGCAGCTGTGATAAGAGCAGTTCGATCAGGTACCAGAGCTGATGCCTTCCACACTGGAATCGAAGTACGTATGTCGTTGTCTGTTGTCTATTTTACCTGTGACACACCACCTTTTGTAAAAAAAATATAATTTAATGTTTTGTAACGATAATTCGAGTTAAAATAAAATGACCTAGCAAGTAAAATGAATTCAAGATAATATTAGGTTGGCTAGAAAATCCTGACTCACTTATGAAGCGGAAAGAAAATCTAATTTTATGGAACAACACCATTTATTCTTCAAAATAAAGCCCATCATTCTGGACGGTGTTCTTTCAGCGATCAGCCAGCATCCGATTCTACCTCAGATACCAGTTCGCTGGCTTTGAACAAAAACAACAAACAAAAAAAAACTGTAAACAAGTTTCCTTCCCTTCATCAAAAAATATTGAATCACTGGTCGCGGATGAAGTGTGACATTGCGTGGAATAAGTCAGTCACTCGGAGCAGCATCGGGACTGAATAGTGGATGTGAAATAATCCGAACACTGACCATTTGTTTGTACTTCTCCTTAGTCAAGCTAGCAGTGTGTGGCCTCACATTGTCTTGCTGAAACAAAGCCTGACCTCGACTGACCAAAGCAGGATACTCTTTCTTAAGTATGTCGATACTCCTTTTTTATTACAAGGAAAAAAAGAGATTATAAACTTACATGAGATTTTTATATCATGGAGAGTTTTTGTAGGCTCTCCATATTCATATGTGGTATTGTGGTATACTTAGGATTGAAGGTGATGGATGAGCTCTTGTGGTAAATGGATAAATTGTATTGGATGAATGGGTCATGATTGTGATTAACTAGGAATAGGATAGTTAGCGAAGACCAGCCTTTCCACACTTCCTCTTCGACTCGACCATGTGCCACAATTATTGTATCGTTACAATAATAAATATATTCTTAAATATACGACTTGTAAAGCCGCCATTTTCTTTTTGGGATACTTTACACGCGAGACACTTCCCGGATCCGTTTTCTACAAGGAGGTAAGCCATTTTCTCTCGTCTTACAAGATTGATATATTTTTGTTAATTTTATTTACAGGACGTGAAAATGGAAGTTGTAACTGATCCTATCCACATTGGTTCGGATTTCCGTGCAAAGGTCAAGATTGAAAACACTTCAAGTGAAATTCGCAGCATAAAAGGCAACTTGTCAATTATGACTGTATTCTACACCGGAGTTATGGCGCACTCAATTGTGAAGAAGCCGGTTAAACTTGAAATTCAACCTTCATCAAGTAAATGCATTTTATTCTCATCCAAATCTTTCTGAGAACGTGCAATTCACTCACGAGAGCCTAACAGGTTTCTCAAATAATATTTACCGTATATACTCGTGTAGATGTCGACTTCATGTATAGTGTAACCCTTGAAATTTCGTTGCATCAATTTTAACAATTCCATAAAAAAGAAATACCGGTGTATATTGCCACCGGTCAATAAAAATGCATTATTTTAACCCCTAAAAAATTATCTGTGTACAGTGCGATCCGTATTTTTGTGTAAAAAAACTGATCTCAAAATCTCGAACTATATTCGGATATATACGGTAGGAAAAATATGTAAACCCTTACAAACAATGCATAATTTTTAACGCTACTACAAGTGAATTTATATTGTGTATATATATATATATATTTAAAGACATTTTTATGTTTAACATTCTTTTTATAGATACAAGTATTTTAAGTAAATGCTCTGTTTATTATAAATAAACAGTATTAAATAACACTTACCGGCCTGAATGTCCGAGAAATTTTCATAGAAAATATTCGTCCTTCGACAGGAGTCGAATCTGTATCCTATACGGAACCGTCATATAGCCTGACGTGCCTTACCGCTCGACCACAAAGGATCGTTCAGTTGGCAAGGTCGAATTTACTGCTTATAAACTTCAATGTTCCATGCATCTCTCACGTACATTCATAACTGCTCACGGCATATCAAATGTAAACAAATGATGTCACACATTATGAAATGGAAAAAGTCCGACAATTATTTAAAGACATTTTATATTTATACATTCTTTTTATTGATACAAATATTTAAGTAAATGCTCTGTTTATAATAAACAGTATTAAGCAACATTTACCGGCCTGAATATCCGAGAAATTTTCATATCATTTTCATAATGTATGACGTCATATATATATATATATATATATATATATATATATAGCGGGTGTAACAGCAAAATTGTCCAGATCGTGCTACAGAAAAATTGTTCAATTGTTAGATTAAGCGTTGAACCGTTGTATGTTAGAAATGATTAAAAACATCTTACTGGAATTCTCCGAGGTTTTTATAACGCTATTAGACTTTACTTTGAATAATAAGAATGAAATGATGATCCCTCTTGCTGTTGTGACCTCCTGATCCAGTTTTCTTCTCTAGTGTTCCCTCTTTTTTAAACTTATTCACCATTCTCTTCATGGTTATTGAATTATATTTGTCCTCATATGGCAGTAAATACTGGTTAATTTGTTCACAGATGGAGAGCTGAGGAAACATGTGGTTCCACAATGAGAACAATATGGACAGGGTATATAGGAAAGAGCCATTTATATATAATTATATTATAAAAGGCTGAGAGTTAATTGATCACGTTCGCGTCGAGTGGGGGTGAGCTATTGACGCCAGCGTAACACTGGTTGAATAAATGTTTTTTAAATTAAACAGTATTAATTACATTTACCGGCCTGAATGTTCGAGAAATTTCGTAGAAAATATGCGTTCTCCGACAGGATTCGAACTTGTATTCCTATACGGAAACAGTCATTTGATCTGACGTGTTATACCATTTAGCTACAGAGAAGCGTCAAAGATTGTGTGTTTAAGAACAGTAATTTGGACTTTGCTAGACGCTTCCCTATAATAAATGGTATAGTACGTCAGATCAAATATAATTAATACTGTTTAATTAAAAAAAACAGCATTTACTTAAATAAATTATATCTATAAAAATAAGGTATAACGTATAAACAGAAAATAAATTAAATAATTGTTGGACTTAATCCATTTCATTATATATATATATATATATATATATATATATATATATATATATATATGTATTATGGAAAAAGCTTTCTTATGGGGCGTTTCCTTCTTTAGGAATTCAGCGTTATAAACTTGTTATGTTCGAGAGACTACACATACGCACGAGCGAGGGATGCTAGGAATTTTAAATTTATTTTTTTTTTATCTAGCCGATTTTATTTATTTAGATTCTTTTTCTTTTTCTTTCCACCAATTTTGTTAGTAGCTGTCCCACACTGTGTTAATAGAAGTCCTGTCAGTAATGATGAAATGTTGAAAGAACCCGGGTGCAAATTTATTATAGATGACGATGCGATCAAGGCATTCTCTAGATATTTTCGTCATTATGAATTGTTTTTCTCCTTTGATCAGAGTAGCATTTTTTATGTCAAAAAGTACTAAAAGGACGAAACGCGTCACGCGAAAACTTTTTCCACTTTGTCATCCATTTTCTCCAATATTTTTCTTGATATATAAAAATATATATCGTTATCTCGTATAAATATATATATACGGTTGAGTGCTAATTTATCACACGTTAGCGGCGGACGGATCCGTGAAATATCTAAACCAGCGTAATACCGTGTAATTTTGGGGCTGGCCGTGTTCCATCCTACATTAAAAACGACCTTGGTACATCCTACTCTCGTGAGGAGTTGGTTAAATACCATCACATGTTAGCAGTATGGACTTCTGTTTTACTGATGTAAGGTAGAAACACACAGAAAAAAATTTAACCATTACGCGAATTTATAAATGATTGTAAAAATCTTAATTATAATTTTCTTCTGCAGGTGAAATTTTGGAAACAGTTGTTACATACGATGAATATGCAAACAAGCTGATGGACCACTGCGGTATAAATCTTACCTGTCTGTTGCTGGTTGACAAAACACATCAACCCCTTCACTACAGCGATTCTTATGAACTTGAAAAACCCGACCTTCTGATCAAAGTAGGTTTACATATTTATTTCCTTGTTTCTTTTTTCTTTTTCTTTTCCATTTCTTCTTTCCTTTCCTTCTTTTTCCTTTCTTTGTCCTCAAGAACAATCCCTTTTTATACATATAATTTCACCCCCGAACAAGATGATGCAGCCACCATAACACAAGTGGTTACTGAGAGTGAAAGAATCTGCAAAAATCTTTATTGAGGAGAGAGAATGTTATTAATTTGTGTTTTATTGTTCATCGTAGGCTCCAAGCAAGGGCAAAGTGAACGACACTTTTGACGTGGAAGTGTCATTCAAGAATCCTTTGAAGGTCAGCCTGACAAGCTGTGTACTCAGAATTGAAGGACCTGGTATAACCAAAGGACAAGATTTTAGACAAAAGTAAGTTTAAATGGTTTGTTTCTGAAAATTAAAAATGTACCGAAACAAATTCTGTGAATATTTTATGGTCGGCTACATTAACCCCTAAGTATTAAACATTGCTGAAATTAAAAGCGCATTGACTCATTGAATAATTCTGAAGCTGGAACATGGTAAGCTTACATCTGATGTACTTAATGCCAGATTATTAAAGCATCGATACACGAATTTCATGGAATCGTAGTTGTGAGTTCAATCCCTGAGCTGGGTAACGCAGATTCAGATCCAGTGAAAACAGTGCGAGCAATAACATTTGTTTTTTTTGTTTTTTTGTTTTTTTTTTATCATTTCACCCCAAGCAAGGTAATAAAACCACAAAGACGCAAGAAGTTATTGAGTGTTATAGAATATGAACATTAAAGGACACAATAAAAGAATTAAGAAGATAACGATTGACATCGCAATTAAATTTTTGAAGATCAAATTTGAATGAAAAGAAAAAAAAAACGAGAGTTCCGCAAGAGAGAAGTTCAAAAGAAACTACCGTAATTCCCCATGTATAATACTCATTTTTTCTAAAAAAAAAAAAATAAACGAAATCAGAGGTGCGTATTATGCACAGCTACAAAAATCTTTAAAAAAATTGCCGTAAAATAAGAATTATCATAAAACTAAATTAGAATAATATTACTCTATGTTTAAAACCATTTTTAATAAAAATAGAAAACGCTGGCCGTAATGAAATTGGAGAGGTACAATTTATAGGGTTTGATTACCAAATAAGGGATGCGTGAGTAGAAACATTTTACAATACTTTCAGCACAATTTTAGGTGTGCGTATTATGGATGAAGGCGTATTATACATGGAGAATTACGGTATTAACATAGAACTTATGGTGACATCTCGCCATTTCAACTGTAAAATGATGAAACCTTGCCGCCTATGTAGTACTGCGCATTAATCCATAAATCCTAGGTACCAAAGATTATCTACTTAAAAAAAAACAGATTAACTAAAATTTGATCCTCACCTGGTGGAAAATCTGAAAAAAGCCTTCTTTGTGGGAGATTTTTGCCACGTCCGATGGCATGGAAACACTTACCGTTGCTTTTAATATGGGTTAGAGGAGGTTCAGCTACTGGAATTCTAAAAAGAAACAAAAGACTATGGAAAAAGCATGGTGTATATCATCAAATGCAGCCATTTTCAACTTGTTTTTTTCTTTATCTGGATGTGCGGATGGTGTAATCAAAGTAGGTCAAAATGAAAAATCGGAGAGTTGGGTTCAAATTCCAGTTGGATTCATTGCATTCACTTACGCGCAAATACCCTTTAAAAATCATTTGATAAATCAGTTTCCAAAATTGAAAGAAATTTCCAGATTATAAAATTTACATTTCCCCTTTCTTTTTGAATATTTTTAAATTTCAATATTTACGTTGTTCGAACTTTATTATCATTTTTCACAACGTTTCGGCCGTTGTACGCTCTGGCCTTCTTCCGATGATTGATATACGCTGGAATTTTGAAGCGGACCCTTTATTTCGTCCACCGAGGCTGATAGTCACAGGTCGAATAGAGGGAAAGAGAGACCAGGGAAAGCAACGCATGACATACCTGGCGGGCTTGAGCAAGTGGATGATAGAACGTGCTCTGGGGAAGGTGGCAAAGGGACGAAACTTCTTGAGAGTTATAAGGGATAGGGGGAAGTGGAGAGTCATGATCGCCTACGTCCCGAAAGGACACGGCACATAAAAAGCAGTAGATTGTTCTCGTTTCAAGTGCCATGCCTTTTACTGGATAACTTAGTTTCAGTTATTTCCCTTTAGAAACTTAACTTTTCACGTAAAGTAGCCAGGTATTGAACTCACAACTCTTTGGGTGAAATCACTAGATTATTTCAACCAACGGTTTTATCCATTGGGCCATGTGTCCTTAAGGGCATGTGTCCTTGCCATGGTATAAATAGTTACAGTGTAACCCGGATATAAGAGACCCGGATATAAGAGAACCCGGATATAAGAGAGATTTTCTCTGGTCCCAAATTAGAGCCTGTGTTAATGTATATATAATAGACCAAACCCGGATATAAGAGAAACCCGGATATAAGAGAAACCCGGATATAAGAGACTTCTTCTCCGGTCCCGACAACTCTCTTATATCCGGTTTACGCTGTATAATATCTCATCTCAGAAATATGGACAGATTTTAAATTTCATTTCTAAATAGTTCAAATGAAAATTTTTTTTCATTAATTTGTTTTTTTATTCTGTTTTATTTTTCTCTTTTATAAAAGCTATACTCTTAATTTTCTGCTATTTCAGGAACGTTGGCCCGGGCGAAACTTTCCTTACTTCAGTCAAGTTAACGCCACGTCTGAAAGGAACGCGTACTATTCACGCTAACTTCTCTTGTGACCAAATAATGGGAATTGATGGATCCCATTTCATCAACATCGAACAATCTTAATTTTAAAATTATCGGCTGAAAACGAAAAGCGAACCTCAGCCAACAAATGGACACTCACTGAAACGTTCATCTTACTCTCAATATAAATTAGTATTTGTTTTAGTTTGTTCTTGGGGGGGGGGTCTGTATTAGTCAACGTATGTTTTGTTGACTTTCCGAAGCGCTTTTTTTAACCATTTTCTAATAAAATGCCTTAAAAAACCAACCCAAAGATCTGTGAAGCATAAAAATGCTATTCAATTTAATAAAATTATATTCCACTCTTTTAGAAGTGCCTTGTCTGCTTAAACAACAGAATTTTAAAAAGCTGAACTTCTTCCTGGTTGTTAAAGCACGAACGTTTAATTCGTATTCCCATTTGACGTTTAAGCACAACCGGAAACACTTCAATGTTGAAGTGTCGCCCCATCTGTCAAAATAATTTAAGGCGAACGCCCATCAAAGACAAGATAGATTTTTTTTTTTCGTTTTGGATTTCTCATAATAACGCAGTGTTATGTTCGTTCCACGTTTAGTAAAATATAAGTTAAAATTACTAACCAAGTATTTTTTGTCTCACTCATTCGATTTCTGTTAGTTTACGATATACTGAGTAAGAATTACAACCTGTAAACAAGGCTGGATTATCCTTTTGGCTAGTATAGGCTGCAACATAGCGACCAGGGCCGGATTATCTATTAGACGCAGAGATAGATTATCCTTTGTGGCCCCTCAAGCTTTTATAAAGCAATGATTTTAATTTTCTGGATGTTATAACTTCTAAATAGTTTCATAAACTAAAAAGATATCTATATGACAAGCTTATGTTTATTAGTCTTTGTAGGAAGCAAAGCAAGGAAAAGAATGTTTTAGTTTGTGTCATTGTGTTTCAAGTAGATAACATGTTTAATTTTAGTTCAGAATATTTAAATCTTAGAAATTGATTTTAGTTTTCTAGATGTTAAAACTTCAAAATAGTTTCATAAACTGAAATTATATCAATATAACCAACTCATATTTATTTTGATTTTTATAATGCTGGTTATAAAAAAAAAACTGATTTTTTTTTTTACTACGGTTGTGTTGAAATATATGACAATTTGGTTTTCAATAAACAATAAAATACCGATATTTCTTAAAGATTTTTTTTATTGACAAGCTAAAAAATAGCTATTCTAGTTTATTTAAAGAATTTGTTAATATATTTTATTTGTTAATAAGTTTACTTCAAGCTATGTAAATGTCGCTAAAATGTATCACGAGTAAAAAAAATATTCAAGGTGTGTGGGACCGAGTTAAAGAGTGGGTCCTTCTGATAAGGGCCTCATAATTTTATTAGCCTAGGGGCCCCAAGAGGTTGTAATCCGGTCCTGTCTATGGAATAATAAAACTTCTTATAACAATAGAATAATAGTATTAACTCACATAAAACCTTATATAAAGAAAACATAATATTGCGGTAATTTAAAATTAATTAAAGAAAAGCAATAGTAAACATTTTGAATATAATAAAATATTTCAAAGAAATCTTTGTCTATAAAAATAATATGTATTGTATAAGATACTTAATTTTCTATTATTATAATTATTCTTAGTAGAATTATATATATACATGCACACACACACACACATATATATATATATATATATATAATGGAGCGTTCATATAAACGTAAATGCCTTGGCGTTTGATTTTGTTAAAATCCCGTTACAAAATAAAAGCGAATTGGTCTCTAACACGCATATATATATATATATATATATATATATATATATACTATAAATTAACTGATTTAAAATATGGTAGCGAAGAAACCATATTTTAAATCAGTTAATTTATAATATTTATGCTCTGTAAATTTACATTGGGCACTGTTTTGTAAAAATAAAAATAATAAAAATAAAAATATCAATAAGAACACCAGATTATGTATCTTACTGTTCTTTCTTTTATTACTACATATATATATATATATATATATATATATATATATATATATATATATATATATATATATATTTTTTGTAAAACAGAATTTGTCTGTATTTACTAAAGAGACAATGAACATTAAAGCCGTCCATTTGGGGGAAGGTAATATGCCCACAGATCGATAACTGCCATCATTTTAAAATCTATTCATATATCAAACATCTTTTTTGTTTGAACTTCTAGCGAAGACAGACGCTTTGACATGTTGAAATGGTTAACAAGCTTGTCTCACTTGATCAATTACAACTCAACAGTGAGCCTAAATGGATGCTCCATACCTGCGGCCTTTTACCACATCTAACCAACGCTTATTAAATCACTATACTCGGTTGTGCATGTGGTGTAATGAATAGCGAACCGAAATGAGAAATCGGAGAGCCGAGTTCGTCACATACACTTACGTAGAAATACCAATGAAAAAAGCATGAAACCGTCTCTTCTCCCCTCCAGTTATGGGTTAAATAGTAGGACTTGCATCTGGAAAAATCTTTGTTATTCTAACAATAAATGTTAATTCAATATTCAATCGAAAAAAAAGAAAATAATTATTTTTAAAATTCAGAATCTATCTCAGCTTTAAATAACCCACAAAGAGTTGATAAACCGTAAAAAATTAAATCATTGATTCGAAGACAATCAAACCATTCTACAGTATGCCTTTAACCGTTTTATTTTCTTTTAAATTTGAGATCAATCATTTATCGATAGTTCTTATTTTGTAAAATTTGAAGTAGTTTATTATTTTCAATGCATGTTACAAAAGACAATTTACTATCTTCTTTAAAATGTTTCATATATATCTATATATATATATATATATATATATATATATGAGATAATGGCATATAATTTTTTATATGTCAAGAACAATATTGGGGGATAATGTATGACAAAGTGGGAAAAGTTTTGGTTGCCCACCACAATTTTGACATAAAAATGCTACTCTGTTCAAAGGAGAAAACAATTGACTACGACGAAAATGTCTAGAAAGTGCCTTGATCGCAAGGTCAATCGCACTAAATCTGCTATTAACAAAAGTAATGCAAAGAAAAAGAATCTAAATGCAATCAGCCAGATCATATTAAAAAAAAGATCTAAAATTCCTAGCATCCCTCGTTCATACACATGTGTAGCAAATTTAGTCCGATGAAAAATAACAAATTTATTCCGAGAAAGTTCTAAAGGACGAAATGCGTTACACAAAAACTTTTTTTCCACTTTGTCATATATTTCCCCCAGTATATATATTAACTCTACCAAAATACTTACATAAAAATTTCTGTATTTGTTTTTAATAGTTCCTTGTACTGAAATATATTTTAAAAATAAACAAAAGTTCCAAAAATAAACTTTTTGAAATCTTTGTCTGTTTCGTTTTCTAAGTACCAATCGACAAAATAAATGAGATTATGGTTAATTTTATTGGCAATGGAAATAGACGACCATCCGCTCCTCAAATCGGAACATTCAATTCGTCCAGAGGAAGTAGTTGAAATCTTTCATACTCATTCAGGATTTTGGTAACAATATCCGTTTGACAACCATGTAACAGGTCATTGCAATGACTCGTGTCCGATTTTCATTCTTAATATAAAAATGACCGCAACTTGACCCTAGCGTTTGATTTGATGCCGTTTTCTGGGTTTTTTCTAGATTGAGACCTTGCATCGTTCACTTGCTAGTCAGATTTTGTTAAATGTTAACGTTTTGTTCACAAATGCATACCTTAAAGATGGAGGATGGCAAGTTTCATTTTCGCCATCTTGTGCTCTATGAATTTTGGAAAGGAGTAAGCGTCGGGACTGCTAAAAAAAAAATCCAGAAAGCTTATTTGGATCGTGTTCTTTGGATGGTCAAAAAGTCGTTTGGCAGATTTCGCTAGGGCGATGTTTACCTAAACGATCAACTACACCTTGGGAAACATTCCGACGGTCGATAAAGACGCCCTGCTTACAAGCATAGAGTATAAACCGAAGATTTCGACGGAAGATTTTGATAAGAACTTTAAATCGATATCTCAAATGCCTTTCGCTATTTGAAGAGATTTTGGTTCGTTTCCAAACTCAACACGTGAGTGCCATATTCTCTGACGGAACAGATCAAGTTCAATCGGGTTTCTGTGGCGATATTTTCATTGTTAATATAAAAACGACCGCAACTTAACAGTGATGTTTGTTTTGGTACCGATTTCTGGTGTTTCTAAGATTGAGTCCATGTATCATTCAGTTTGGAGTCAGATTTTGTTAATTGTTGATGTTTTGTCCACAAATGAATAACTTAAAGATGGAGGATGTCAAGTTGCACTTTCGCCATATTGTGCTCTATGAATATCGAAAAAGGAGTAAGCGTTGGTACTGCGACAAAAAAAACAAAAAAAAAAAAACACATCCAGAAAGTTTATTTGCATCGTTCTCCAGTTCTTGGGATGATCAAAAAGTGGTTTGGCAGATTTCGCCAAGGTAATGCTAACCTAAACGATCAATCAAGCTCGGATTGACTTTGAGGCGTCGATGAAGACGCTCTGCTGGCCATTGTGGAGAGTAAACCGAAGATTTCGACGGTAGAGATTGCAAAGAATTTGAAAATCGATATCTCAACTGCTTTTCACCATTCGAAGAGATTTTGGTTCGTTTCCAAACTCGACACGCGGGTGCAACATTTTCTGACGGAACAGAAGTTCCATTGCGTTTCGTCGGCAGTTTCTATTCTGTGACACCACGAAAAACGTGCTTGCATCCAATGAAAGTGTTGTTGATGTTTGATTGGATTGTAGAGGGATCATTCACTTTGAGCTTCTTCCAGGTGGCGAAATAATAACTGCACAGAAGTATTGCGACTAACTCTTCATTCTGAATGTGCCTATTCAAGAAAAACGGTCGATTTTGGCAAATCGGTTTCATTTTTCACGCTGAGCACGCAAGAAAGCACGTTTCAAAACAGACCCTGCAGATCTTAAGAAAAGTTGAAATGGGAAACCTTCCAGCACCCACTGGATTCTCCTGATTTGATTCCTTTAGAATTTGTTTTCTTC